GCGTGAGTTCTGGCGCGGGCTGCTTGCAGCCTACATCGACCTCAAGAAGACGTTCAATACAGTGCATCAGGAATCACTCTGGGAGATCCTGAGATTGCGAGGTATTCCAACAAGGATTATTGGATTAATAGCATGCCTGTATACTGGTACTGAAAGTGTGGTGGTTGCCTGTCGAGCTTCTTTCCTGTTAGTTCAGGAGTGAAGCAAGGGTGCGTCCTTGCACCAATACTTTTCAATATTTGTATGGACTGGTCATTATGGTGGAACCTGCCACCAGGTTGTCTCTGTACAAGACAACCCCAAGTGGAGGAGGCCTGGGGGATGACAAAGGATGTCAGGCTTGGGCACATCAATGAGCCAAGTCTTCTGCCTGGCGGCTCGCCATGAGGGATTCTCATAGATGGAAATGAAGACTGGATGCAGCTATGCACCCCCAGCAGCATTAGCTCCCAATGATGATGATGACATGGTCAAATTATGTTACTTTTTGAAGCCTATCTATATACTAGAAAAGAAAAAAAAGGGAAAAAAAAAAATGCATGTTATGGAGTATATAATTTTGCTTAATCTCATATATTATTTATACAACCCCCAATAAGGGATGTGAGCCTCTAAAAAGTCCCTTTTATATTCTTATTCTTTATTTTTTTAACAGTCAACACTACCATCAACTGGTTGTATATTTTACCAGAATAACCTGAAAAACATTCTTCAGTTAATCAACCCTATGCAAAGGGTATCTCGGATTCAGATTTTTAAATTTCCTTTCCTTTTTTAATTTGTGGGGGGGGAGGATTCTTTGCAATTGTAAATTACATTGGATTCATTGTTTCTGCATTACGTATCTATACTTTGCTGCTTTTTTTTTTTTTTTTTTAGAAATTAAAAAAATAGGAATTGACAAATTATGTCCAAGGCCATTACAAATGCAACCAACCAGTTTCAGGGCACATGATAATCACAACCACTGGATGGTATCACAGCTTATGTAAACAAAGTGCTGAGAACAGGCCAATAGAAATTTGGACTCCATTGCCAGTTCATTATCTCTATAATTCTTTTGCTAAATCTAATGTTGTCATATACAAAAAAAAAAAAAAAAAAAAAAAAAAAAAACTAATTTAGTGTACCTTGCGATGAGATTATTACCAAGTCAATCAGATTCAATAGGGATCATATTATGTAAAGGTACATTGTTTTTTTATATGAAAACATATTCTTGCGCAACATGTTTAATAAAACTAATATAAACTAGAAAATACTAATATTCTATTTTCACTTTCTATTTTCTATTTACTATTCTTTTTGAGGAGGTTTATATGTGTAACTCACAGAAGATTAACTGTCTGAATCATGTTCATTTCATAGGAGTAAACCCATTTATATGTAAAGGAAAAATCATTAGTTACCCCATAGTTTTATATCATTTTCTTTTGTAATTTTTTTTTTTTATTTAGCCATTGAGCAATGGGAACCAGCATATACTTGGTGTTTTGTCATTTACATGAATTATCCTTGCAACTAATTGAATAAAAATCATTGAAAACCTGGGTGGTGTTCACAGGTAGCATTTTTTACTCGAAACACTTGAAAAAGGTACAATAGCTGTTTCAACTCTCTACAAGGACAATGCATAGGACTAATTTTCAAAATTCCATATAGTTTTCATTTTACAGCAGCTGTCATTGTGTATTACCATCTTCAGCATAAAATAATCAATATCTCTCTTATTTTTCCGGAGTTCAAAAATCACATCCAAGATGCCTTTTGTACTGAAGTGCTCATTAGAACGGATACAATCTATTTCAACAATGGTAGACTGCATAGACTGTTAGGGCGTAGCCAAACCAAAATATTATCATCATTATTTATATTCATTTTTTATCATTGGCACTTCTTACTCGGTACACATACAGATCCCTTTATAAGGTACAGCACATTAACAGGGAGTCTAAATGGAGGGCATATTTTATGTGTACATGTACAAAAAATGATTTTTTAAGAAAAATCTCACATAACATTTTATCACCAATAATTGTGATATTCATTTTTTCTGATATTGATATAAAAAAGGGTTAATCTATATGGTAGGTTTGAACTAATGATATTCTTATAGAGGACAAAAGGTTACAGTCATCAATACAAGAAATAATCTGCAGACACAAATGATAACACCACAGATAGAGGAAAATATTACAGAAACCACACAACCAAAGCAGAAAACATGGTGCTCATGTAAATAAACATGGTGCCATCAGTGTAAGGTCCCGGAATCATACGAACATTCTCATACATATCATGATATTTTAAAGAAATATGATTATGTATATTATATATACGAATGTTCTCAAATATTAGCTTATGTTTACATTCCCTCACTCTACCTAATTTCTCAATAAAAAAACTTCTAGCTGTTTAGATCGTCCATATTACAAGATCAAGACAGAAATTAGTCAGACAGAAACAGTCATAACCAAAAAAAAGTGCTAGTATGATAGGG